TCGTCACTGTTTATTAGTCACAACAACAATGAGCTACCGACTAGATATGGCCTTTGTTCTGCTCTGGAATGCTATCTTCTATGCCTTACAAACCACTGCTAATAATCATAATACCCTCAACTTAAAGGGTACACAGTGTATATGCAAGAGTGCCTTCCCCCTTACTCACTCACATTAAGAGCAAAACTATGCATGCACAATTTTATATGGAATCTATGCTGTGAACTAGAGTAAAGTTTAGAGCAGCAGAGCAGAAGAGCAGCTGTTGCCACACACATTTCATGTTGAAAATGCAACTCAATTGAAACGAAACTTCAACTACATTTGCCACACATGAGTATTTGAATAATTGAACATTATCGAAATAATGAGTTAACTCTCAGAAAACTCAACCGCAGACCCAGGGGCTGAAACTGACACTCGAAAAACACGCAGCAACCAGACCCGAATCAAGTCAAACATTTTTGCTGTATCCAGAGAAACAATCTGTAAATGAACAGTGTACATTGTAAGTACATATCTATGCTCTGTAAAAGTCAAAGAACTTTTAAGCTGCCTTTCTGTTGAGCAAAACTTTTACCAGCAATTTTTGTGTTTTTGTTTGTTTTTTTTTGCTATTACTTTTTGGCATGTCATGCCCAATCTAAATGAGAGATGAGTTGTCCGTTTGTCCAATTTGTAGGCTGCCTGGTCAATTTCGTTGCTAGCGGACATTCAAAAGGCCAGGCACAACGATAGAACATGTGAGAACAATTGAGTCCGCCGACTTACGGTTATAACACGCACCTTTGCTGTGTGTGTTTGGTAGACAAATGAGATACGGTTGGGTGGTTGGATAATGGTAAACCACTCAAGGAATTAGCACAAAGTTGGTTGAGCAAAGGTTTTCTCCAGTAGGTTTGGTGTTTATTGAGAGTAAAAGTTGTTTAATAAGCTTTAAAGTAACTGTAACATTTCAGAACATTCCACCAAAGAACTACCTAAAACCATCACGGGTATACCTAAAATTGTACTTTAAAGCGTTCGAATATCCAACAGAGAGCATAAAAAAGAGAAACCTTGAACAAAAAAGTTGCGCCAAGCAATTTACAATGATAAATTATATCCCGCAAAAACAATAGGAGAGAAAGAACGAACCCAAATTAGAAATTTTCTACCCCAAAGCCCCACACCGCCAACAAGATTTAATCAACTTAAGTAAGTAGTCAAAGTGAGAGCTCTCGGATTCGCAGTTAAATAAAAGTCTTATGTGGGTGGGCGGTGCTCCACTATCGGTGCTGGTGCTGGGGCTGGTGCTACCTTAATAAGAAAGAACGAACGAACAGCCGTTGTAGCTGTCACTCAAAAACGCCTCGGCACACACCGCACCAACATCGGCAGTCTGAGTGAGAGAGAATTCTTATGAATAATCGCACAGCCAGCAGACAGCAGGCAGCATTAGATGTAGAAATTCAATGTACAAAACTTGCCAAAAAGTACAAAAAGAAAGAAATATTTGAAATACGCCAACTAGCAAGAGAATGAAAAGTAAAATGTTGTAGGTACCCCACATCTTAATAACCCAGAGACACAGAAAGGGTTGCGAGAGGATTGGATAGAGGTTTTCATTTCTATTTCTCAGCATTTCACAGCATAAAATTGTGAATATTCCAAGCATCTGAAGTAGGAAGGAAGGTCGCTCAAGTTACCTGACTGGCGAACGACCGACCGGGCGACCGACCACGTATGTCAGCTTATTTCAAGATAAAGATACAAATTACATGGCCAGAAGTGGGGAGGGGGGGCAGTGGGGGGATAGGAGACAGGAGACAGGAGACCCGGTGTTCGCCTCGATTAATATGCAAGCAGTGCAGCAAATAAGATATATATAATTGCTGTCTGATGCTTATTTATCCGTCTGTCTGCTGCATAAACAAGTGACTCGAATGATCGACTTGGGGCTTGACTAATTAAGGCGGAACCTCTGAGCCGTACGTTTTCGTTCAATGACAGCTCCTCCACACAGTGGGGTAAGGCAGGGCAGCATAAGCGAGAGAGAGAGAGAGAGAGCTACAATAGTGGGAATTAGTTGGAAATCAGCTGTGTTCAGTGGCTTAAAATATATTTGATTGTGTGAAAAAATTCCATTATCGCACATTTAGAATGAAAAATCATGAAATTTCCGATAATATTACAAAATCTTCCATCTAAACCTCGAATTTGTCAAACTCTGCACTTTTATTTGACAGCATTTTGAGTATTCTCTTCAATCATCACATATTTCATAGCATTTTTTTATTCCATCGTAAAGTGCTCAGAGATCCCCAGATCCCCCATTTGGGAAGCTCAACTATGCATAGGATATGGCCCAAAAATAATTAAGTTAACAATTTGGCTAATTACGACTGCACTAAATGCATTTGAGCCAACGCACAATTAACCCAGAAGAAACCCAGGCAAGAAACGAGAGGCACACCAGCCAAGAATTCAAATATTTTTCAATGCCTCACATTACAGTGCGGACTGGCAGCAGTGAAAAACAAAAACACGAACCAAAGACGCTGCCAAATGTGGAGGCAAAAGAAAATGATTTGCTTGCTAAGGAATAAAAACAAGAGAGATATACTGAACTTAAGTGAAATGAGATGAGAATTTGGTTTTGTTTCTATTTCTATGGGAGACGATTTTGGTTGCACTGTTTCCTCCTCCTCCTGCTGCTGCTGCTTCTGGTCTGCTATTTGTTTGGCCTGTCACTGTGTCAAACTCTGAAAATGTGGCGACGATGTCTGTTTATTTAGCACGTCTTTGGGTCTAGCGTCTGTTTCTCCCACGAATCCCACATCCCTCAGTCACATCTGCCAGCGACGGCATCAGAGCATCGAAAAATCATCATCATCGTCAGCTTTAGTGCAAGTTCAGTTCGCCCCAGGCCCAGGAGCACCGTTTTCTCAGTATCTGGCTGTGGACACTCTTTTCAGAGGGTACTGCGACTTTGGTAAGAGTTTTGTAGCGTTTTGGAATCAAATACAAATATGTAGTTTTATGTGGTTGCATTGCTAAACTTCAGTCGGTATTTCTATTTATATTTCCATCTTCTAATAATCAAATTATATCAGAGTTTTCCCATCTTTATAACCGCATTTAAGGGCATAGAAAATTCGTGTCCCAAACGAAATATTTCATGTACTTTTTCCATCTTATTTTTTTGGTATTTATAACTGAAACATGCCTTTGTTGTCATTTATTACTGTCACTTTAAATCCAATCAACGCTTAGTCAATGCTCTCGAGCATCGATGAGAGATTTTCGTTTTGGCTTCTTCCTATGTATTTTTTTTCTTCAGCTTTTCTGCGTTTCCGCAACGAGTTGATTTTTTTTTTTTTGGGTTCTACGTCAAGTGTCATGATGATAATTTTGTTTTTTTTTTTGGTGTGTTTCTGAATCTTTTTTTGGACTATTTTGTTATTTAAAAATAAGTTGTTATTCCCAGTAATGCGATATTTGACGCAGCGGACAGACAATGCCTTATGTAAGGTCTTTCGAGGTCTTTTGGTGGTTCCATTTGAATGTCAAGTTAGTGGATTTTTTATGGATAAATACATGAATAAAGATAGCTTGGATTCCAAAGCCAACAATGCCTCTGATAGTGTTTTTCATGTATCCGTCACATTTTTGTTTTATAGTTTAATTTAAAGCCTGCCCAAAGTATGCAACACGCGAAAAGAAAAACAATTATTAAACAATAAATAAAATGCTAATTGGTAAGGCAAACGTTAAAGAAACGAACAAAATAAACAAAAAACAATCAAAATAAAAGCCGAAACTCTTAATTGCATGGCGCCAGACGATCGTTATTTAATATCAAGAGTAAAGCAAGTCCCAATGTAGGTTCCGTATAGACCCAAATATGGTTTGCTCTCACTTTTTCTGGGCACTTTTCTGGAATGGTTTATTATGGTACCCGTCACTTGAGGCAAATGCAGGGCATTAATAATCTTACGGAAAGCCTACAATCATTTATTATAGAGGCCTACAATTTTACAGCACTTGGGGCATATAATGGGGAAATATTATGCAAATTGCATGCTTGTAGAATGTCAATTTATATTAATTTGTTTGCGTATACGCCGGATAAGAATAAAATAGTGTGCAGTGCTCTATGGATTCATTTGACATTTCTCTTATTTATGTTGGTTTTCATCAAGATTCTCTCAGAGATTTGCCTTGCAAAATTATGCTCTTTGAAATCCAAAGTCAACCTTATTCCCACACCGGTCCAGTCGAGGTTTCCCCAGTAAAAGACTGTAAAGACAGTAAACCTCGCCCTCAATCTCCTCTAATAAATGAATGCAATTTACGAACAGCAACTTATAAAAATTATAGGTTAGCACGGTTTCAACCGCCCCACGCCCAGACACAAACACAAACACAAACACAGAGACTGAAACTGAAACTGAGAAACTGAGAACTCCGCTGAGTGGCTGATGAAAAATTTAAAACGCAGCCAAAGAGCAAAACAATTTTCATAAATATGCCACTGAGGAAAAGTTGTGCGGGAAGAAGGCGACGGACAGGACCGGGCAAAGGCCCATGAAAAGCAAATGCCAACACCTTGGCTTAGTCGGTACTTGGGAGTGTGGGATAAGTGATACTCTCTAAAGGATTGAGCACTGAGTTGGGTATACAAAAATCGTTTTAAGAAGGAAAATAGCAAGTGTAGGAAATTCCACTTCTTCATTATATTTTTATTTGCTAAATCCACACTATTGTTTTCCTGTTACATACAGCCTCTTGAATTAAACATACCCTTTTACGTAAGTAATGGGCATATGAAACCTCAAAGCGCATTAACGCCTTTAATGGCCTTGAGACGGGCATCAACAACATGCAGAGAGAGAGAGAGAGAGTTCTTATTTTTATGCTATCCAGCTTCCCCGCTCCACACTCTTAGTGCTTTAAACAGAGAGTGGGTGGAGCGTGGAGCGTGCGGAGATAAAGAGGCAAAAGGGCTGCCAACTTACCTTAAATTTGGCACAGCTGCCGCTGCTGCTGCTGCCGCCTGGAGTGGCGGCGGCACATTGTATGGAAATGGCAACTTGGCCGCAACCGCTGGATTCTCAAAGAGCATACTTCTGCCGGCACTGCTGCTGCTGCTTGGGGGGTGGTGGTGTTGAAGCTGATGCTGGTACTGGATAGTACTCCCGCTGGTGGTGGATGTGCCGCTGGGGGGGTTGATGCTGGAGTTGGCGCTGCCAAAGGCGACGTTGTAGTAAATTTTGCTGCTTTTTATTTATCCCAACGCACGCCGAAAGAAAAATCACTCGAATCGTAATCACTTTTTTTTTTTTTGTAGCTTTCGTTCTTTTCTCTTCTTGCTCTCTCACTTTCTTTGTTGACGTTTGGCTTCAACTATTTATGCAAGAATATTCACAACTTTTGTTTTATTTATGCGCACTGGTTTCTGCTTTTGTTTAAGTTATGCTCATTTTTAACACACCAACAATTTTAGCAATCTGTGTTTCTCTTTTGAAGAATTGCTGTCAACGTTTGGTTATTTCTATAAGATAAAGATTGGAATTGTTATAAATTATTATGAAATTATGCCAAAAAGTAATAACTTGATTGTTTTATATATGTATTTTGAATTGAATTTAATTTTCAACGTAATTTATTAGACACATTTAAAGTCATTAAACGAATTGAAAGATATTTATTAGATTTATTATAAGATTAAAATAGAGCTGGCCTTAGAAATGTTCCTATAATTTGTATGGCAATTATTTCTTTTCAAATTTCTTATGATTATTTCTCTTATTAATATTTTTGTTACTTTGGTATTTTTAGTGTTATTCTTGGTATTATTTGCTTGCCATTTGCTGGCCCCCTTCCTTTTGTTTTCTGTTGTTGTTTCTGTTTGGTTTTAATTTTGTATCTTCTTTTATGCTTTTACTTTCATTCTTCTTTGCTTTGCGTTTGCTTGTCTTTCTTTGGTGCTTGTTGTTTTTGTTCCGCTCTCAATGTTGAATGGCTTTTGGCATTGATTGCCGGCTTTTTCAACACATACACACACACACGCACGCACAGGCACACACCACACAGACCGCGTCTGATGCCGCTTCTCGTTTGCTCTTCTGCTCTAAAAATGGTGATAAAATGTAGCTGCTTTTGCTTCGGTCGTTGCTGGAATTGCGGTTTCATCAAAATTCACATACAGCTTTTAATTCAAATCGTATGAAGCAGCCAAATACAAAAAAAATAGCACTTGAGTTCGGTTAGTTTTTATGGGGGGAATACTAGTATCTCTGTGCCCGGTTTTTGTATTAATTTTTTATAAACTAAATCGATTTGCCCGTTGCCCAAAATGCACACGCATTAAACATACAAGCAAGCACATAAGACGCACAACAACAGTTTTTGCGACGTCATTGAATTCGCCGCAGTTGTATGGATATGCCCCTGCACGTCTGTATGTACAGCTTCACCATCCAGTTGTTGAGTCACTCACCCACACACACACACACACACGCAAACACACTTTTATGCTTACAAGCTCAAAAGAAACGAAGCGATTACGGTTAGTCTGAACCACGACGAATCGATGACGAGAAAGGAATGTGCACGGACAAGGAAGTTTTTTGGAATGAAAGGCAAGGAGCGGCTGAGCGTCGGATGTCAGCCGCAAGAGAGCACTTCGCCGTGCTTCTGTCAATGAGAGAGACTGAGAGCTATCGTTCTCTCTCTCAGTCCCACACAAGGGGGACTAACAAGGTGACGTTGTCCGCTGTGCGAGGACCTAAAACGTATTCACCACGCTCAAAGAGACAGGCGCTAGAAAGGGATAGAGATAGTATTGCTCCGCGAAAGAGAATCCGCTGGCGAAGACGTCACCCTGTAAGTAAATTCACCTTGTGACAGCTTTGCTGATTGCAGGGTGGTAGTGGGGGTCCATTGGGTGCCTTCCTTGTATGCAACATGCGGCCATGTGCATCGTGAGTCAGTTAATGATGAAGGCACAGACACAGACACCCTACTGCTAGTCACCCCCGTCGTCTACCCCATAATCATTTCCGATGTGCAGTTTCATGCAGTTTCCCCCAAAACAATAGGCCTAAGCCCAGCCCCAGAGCGAGCGAGCACCGACCGACCGACCGTCTTTATAGTGCGCTTTGTTCTCCCCATTTACTTAGCTTTCTTTGTTTATCTTATTTTCTTTGCTCTGCTTTACTCTGCCTCTGCCTCTGCACGTATTTCTTTTAAAGCACAGCTCAAAGCTGTCGCTGTTTGTTGATTTTGATTGCTTTTAAAGTACGATTTCTTCTTTATATCTTGTGTAGATTTTTCCACAGTGCCTTATATTATTTGATTCACTCAAGGTAAAGGATTGTCTGCTCTTTTCTGATTGCCAAGTGCAAAATAATCTTCATCTTTTGTTTATCTGATTAAGAAATTTTTAATTTAATTGTCACATTTGATTTATTGCATGCACTCCCTAAGGTTTTTCAACGTTTTGATTTTGGGGCACGAGCAATTTTATTCGTTCTAGTTTCCATGAATTCTTTTTTCATTGCTGTTTCGATTCCCTAGAATACAATTGTACTCTAGCAATTCGCTATTTGGCCCACTCTATACGATGCCAGCGAATAGTAAATATCCAATTACCAAAAACATCATTTACTGAGAACAATTTTTGTTTCCTTCAAGTGTTCGGGTTCGTTTGCTTATCGCACATTGCGATGGAGTGGAGTGGAGTGGAGTGGAGGAGCAGAAAGCAACAAACACTGTAATTGATAAAATCGAACCAGACCGAGCGAGTGAGTCTCCAAGTACAAACAATACTCTCGTAATAATCATCAGGCAACCGCAAAAGTGTCTTTTGTTTTTCGGTTTTGCCTTCGGAATATCGAAAGTTGTTCTATTGGTTTGCGGTTTGATCTTATAGGGTTTCTTTTTGGCACTTTCGACATTGTCTCATCATTATTTGCTTCATTTTATTCGTATTTATTTCATTTTCATTATTATTTATCGCCACCCAAGTGGGTGTTTTTCCATTCAAATAAAATATTTTAGTCAACTTGTTAAGTTTATTTTCAATTTTGTTAGTCATCTCAAAACTCAAATCGAATTCGACTTGAGCTTCAAGATTCATTAGTTAAACATATCATTAGCTAATAAGCCATGAAAGTTGATATTAACTTTGATAATACATTGTGTTCGTGTGTGTGTTTTGTCTTAATAGCCATGAAATATTCATTTCGTTTTAGCAGTTTCCACTCCATTGAAACACAGCTGTAGTGCATTTCCTAAAAATCTGGATGTATGGCCACATGTGGGATGGATATACACGAGTAGAATTATTTGCATACGGTACGAGTAGTTTTAATTAATTTGCATGCCTCACAAAGCTGCATGCAATAACGAGCTGTTTTGTGGATGCGGTTGGTTAATTTTGTTAAACAATTTAACACGTAATTTAATTCAGTCGCTTCTCTCGGCCATCAACAAATAAAACACACATTATTCTCATTTTATAGGAAAATATTTCATTAAAATTTCTCCTACTTTGCTTTATGCTTGTTTTAATGCACGACAAACAAAATTTGGAATTTTGTTTGTTTTCAATTTGCCGCCAAACGTGGGCGGGCCGTGGGCCGTGGTATTCGCTTTCGGATCTGGAGTGCAGTCCCAGTCAAGACCCACAAACTCCGGCTTTAAATACAACAACACTCGGCACGGGCTCGGTACGACGAAACGACGCAGACGACGACGGGAGCACTATATGTTCCGCACGAGCGTGAAGTATACGTGAAACGTGAAGAGAGCGCGAACGTGAATTTGCTTCTGGTATAACTATAACGGTCAACGGCGGCGTGCACGCCTGACAGTTTCGAACAGTGTGGCCGCGGACTTTTCGATCAAATATACCGCCTCTCCCTTTTCAAATATACCGAAATATACCTCATAATATTTAAAGTATACCATAGATGCTGCTGAAAAATCTTAGCAACATTTGGCTGCCACCTCAAAAAGCTGGTTCGAAACCCACCACGATTTGGGAGAGCGAAAACTTATTATTGTGTATGAAAGATGTGATACCCTATTTTCTCTAATATCCCCAACAAGTGATATTAATAGATCGATAGAGCTTATTAAATTCTCCCTTATATACATGCATATTCCATATTAACTCAACCTCGACATCAAAATATCCATTGAAGTTGACAAAATACCCTAACCGGTCCGAAAGCCGTTCTCGCTTTTCTCTCTTCTCTCTCTTTGACTTTGCCTCTTACGCTCTCATTCGTTTGCGGCGAAAATAAAAACATGTGAAAACAGAGAGAGCGCAGCGAAATCGCTCAAAAAAAGCCGTTTTCAGTGAGAGCGGAGCGATTCTGTGGTCATCCCACTCGCACTCATGCCCAGCCTTACTTCCGGAGGAGCATTTGCTTTTGGAATTGGTTGTTTTTGTTGCTGCCTCTTGGTGGGGATAAAAATGAGCATCGCTTGGAGAGAATTTTCCTCGTTGGATAACGGGTGCTGGATGGTTGGTTGCTGTTGGTTTTCCAATTTTCGATTACTATTATATCCCAAAACCAATCCAGGTGCACATTCGCCTCTGACAGTGGTTATCTATTGAATTAATCATATCGGTTTGTGTCTAAAATGTAATCTAAGGTTAAATGTTAATTTAGGTATTCAAATTTCAATTTCAATCCAGTATAAGACTCTACGCTGAGCTTTGTCGCCGCCTGTTGCACCCACATCAATTACCATTTTTACACACCCTCGCAAATCAAAAATTTGCACAAATTAATTTTTTTGCAAAACTGCAGACTGAAAAGGAGGCTGGGACAGGGGCTTGGCTGTCTTAAAAACAACAACAGCGGCGGCGACAACCAACCAACGGCTTATTAGAAGGCCTAAAAACTTCAAAGGCAGACAAGACCCTCCTAAGCAGAGCCGCCGACACGGCGTGCTGTCGCATGTTTATACCCTGTAATCAGGGTGACAGAGGCTATGCTACAAACATATAATAGTTGACGGGGCAGGCCATTAGCTAAGTATATTTATTTTTAATTTATTGATTTGGTTTAAAGATTAATTCAACTCATGTAAATATCTATTAAAATTATTCTTAATTCTTATAAAATAAATCTGCATTTATTTTGTAGGGTATCCCAAATTAGCTACATCGACTTCTAATTACCGTTCTAATACTTATTTTGCTTTATTTCTTCATAATTTACAACAAAAGGCGGCGCGCAACAAGCGCAACGAGGTTTCTGCACCTGAACAGCTGACGGCAAAAAAAATGTTCGTTTTTGGTTGTGTTTCATTATTACCCGGTACTCGTAGAGTAAATTGGGTATATTGTATTTGTTCTCGAAAGTGGGTGTATATATGTATGTATGTACATATGTAACGCAGAGGAGGAAACGTTTCCGACCCCATTATTTATGTAGTCTACTTCGTAGACACTTGTCTTTAGACAAACAGTCAAGCTCAAGGGGAGTGTTGGCGGGATGTAGATGTACATATGTACATAGATGACAGAAGTTTTGAAAGTGGAGAGCTTCGGCACCGCCATTTTTATGAACACAGTCGTATATACTGAATACCGGGTATAAAAATTGTAACGCGTACTACGTCACCCAACGTTCCTCCTCGTTTTGTTTCAGTTTCTTTTCCTTTTTGTCGGAACACAAGAAACTTGTTTGCGGAGCCCGAAGCGAAAATATAGAAGAAGCAAATATATAACAATTGCACGAAGAACAGCACCGAAGAAGGCGTTAAGAAGGAGCGACGCACAGTGGGGCCTTCGGACATATCAACTTGCTAAAATATTGAAATTGAAATTTGATTACGGTGCTTATGTGCCAGTTTGCTGTGCATAAAATGATCAGCTTAAATATTTGTTGATCGATAAATAAAGCTTTTATTTTAAACAAAATCGCTTAAAAAAGTATTCATTTCGACGTTTGCCACCTCTTTCCGGCTGAGGCCTCACTGTGCCGACGCCGCGACTCTGAACCAGACAGGTCAAAGGAGCAGTTGTGCTATCCCGCTCCCACTCCCGCACCAAGTGCCACCCACCGCCACCCGCGCAGCTGCAATAAATTTGTCGGGCAAGCAAGCGTCTTCGATTAGTTTTGGAAATGGAAATGGTGGTGAGGGAGGAGACGAATACGAGAACGAACCATGAGAAGAATCAATGGGAGGAGCATGGTGAATGGTTAGAGATTAACGGAGAGAGAGAGAGAGAGAGAGAGCGCGTAAAGCGAAGAACGAAGAGCATTGGCCCATCATCGATGAATGTACACCACGCGATACATGAATAGGGAACACCTACATATACCTTAAAATTGTACTTGTCATCCATCTTCGCAAGCAGAATCTATTCCGCTTAATATTATTTGATCTGCTACACATAACTATCGAAACTTTCAACCACAATAATTTAAATGGTCTAATGGACTACATTTAGGGAAGGAACAATAAATAAATAAAAGCAAGTGACGCTTTGATTATGACTAATGATTTATCAGCGATGTATTTATATTTGTTAAAAAGATTGGAGTTGCTGACGCGCTGCTGTTGAATCATAAAAAAGGTTTTTCTATCGCTCTTTTTTATGA